AATAAATGACTGTGAAGAAGAATCTACCCTTCCTACTTTTGCTATGGATGCAAGGATTTTGTAACGGGGAAAACACATTTCCCATTTCACTCTTATATTAGGTGTAGCGAAAGTAACCTGGTGGTTGAGTGTTTAGTGGGTCGGACACTATTTGGGCCCGTTTACATTAGTAAGTAGTAACACATTTTCCATTTGCGTTGGGCAAACCAACAACACTCAATCTTTCCATATTTACCCCTCCAAAAATTGCTCTAGCTTAACAATAGAGGCATAGGAGGTTAGCCGGTTGTTGAGACTGATGAGAAGTTTGAAGAGACGGCGATGATTGAGCGTTTAGTGGGTCGAGGCACTATTTGTTTAAAATAGAATTATTTATGTCTCTAATTTTCCTATTCTCCATGAGATAATTTCAATTGTTATCATAGCTATTTCATCAAAATTTTCTTGCATTATCTTTTTAATACATATGGGATTTTTGAAACACAAACAATACTTTAACAATCAATATAAATGTCTAGTGTATATATACATGAGAATAGTAATGAATGGCTAATACTAATATTAATTAATATAATTAAACACATTATCATACTCATAATCAATTAATTATACACTACAAATACAACCTACAATATATGATTAGATTAAACTAGCAAATTCAGGTTGAGGCCCCTAATAATCGTAGTCCTTGTGCCAGAGGTCCGCTTGGCACACCCTCTTTGGTCGGGCCTGGGTAACCTCCAACCACTTCGTGGGGGAGTTCTTGCTCGCGAGGAGGTCTCGTTCTGCTTCTTTGTCGAGAATGTTGTAGCAGAGAACCTTGAGCCAGGTCGTCCCTATTTTGCGGACTGTTGCCAAGACGATGTCGTTGCTTCTCGGCTGGAATCGTGATCAGAAGGCGACCATGTTGTCCTAAAAAATAACCGGGTACTAGAAGCCATCAATATATCTGGCTTATCTCGTGAGAGTTCCAAAACAACTCCATCGCAGAATGATGATTGCTCACACAGCTTTAATCATTTGGATGACCCGAAAATCTGTGTCCTGTATGCTGTGGCGGACCTAAAAAATTTACATAGGGGTGTCCTCTACATCTTTTTCAAAAAATAAATAATAATAAAAATAATAATTAATATATATTGAATAATTCTTAAATAAGAAAATAGCCAACTCGTACAAGTTAAAAAAGTTCATAAGTATTTTCATATTCTGATAAAATTGTAAAATACACTTGTTGTCTACATTGCTCAACAAAGTTGTCTCGGTATATCCTACTAGACAATCATTCACGAAAAAATGCATATTCGACTTCATTTGTTTTTGATGTAACTCAAAGTTGAAAAGACACTTTAAACACTTGTTGTACACCCATAAATTAAGGGTAGCTTGTAATTAGATTAATTGTTAGGTTTTGAAAATAATTAAAGATAGAGACTAGGGTTTTTGAAGGAACTATGATTCTGCGGTAACTTGTGATTAACGTAGCCAGATATAGAAAGAGATTTAGGAATTGAGAGAAATAATTAGGGATTTGATAAGAATAATTGGGAAATTGAGATAGGAAGAATAGAATTGGAAATTAGGGATTAGGAGAAGAAGAGCGATAAATTGAATAGGGTTTGATTACTTATTTCTGACTAAATCCAACGTAATGACTCAAATACATATTTATAGGGGAATAACAAAAACCTAATGATACCCTACTAATCTACTTGGCACTAATCGGCTGCCTAACCCCCTAACCAGGGAATGGATCAGGTGAGTAACCTTATGGTGAGTAACCATGAGTAACCCGTCCACGTCAGTATGACATCAGCATCCTCTCTCTCATAGAAAGCCTTTAATTTTTCCCTCTTTAATCTTTGACGGACGATTTCTCGCTCATTTTAAGTCGAAATTTAATTTTTTTTGCACAGTTAGATCAGATTAATTGTGCTCTTCAAAATGATATCCATTTTAATATATTTGTCGAACAAAAAAAATTGAGCCATTTTTTACCAGCCTATACCATATGGTATTGAAATAAAAGCATACCTATGTTTTGAAAAACGTACCATGGTGGTATGAACAAACCAATACTGTAGGATGGTTGAATACATGATAGTAGAAGTATATTAATTGTAATTTACGACTTTTAACATTGTATACCACACAATACCACCCCGTACCAGGGTGGTATTGTATGGTATTGTGTGGTATTTTTTGGTCCTGTAATTTGTTCACCCAGAAATTTGTAGATCCAATAGATCATGATGAACTCGTCCCTTCTGTGCAAACGTTTTCAAAAACGAATTAAAAACGAAGAAGATACCATACAATACCACCCCGTACCAGGGTGGTATTGTATGGTATTGTGTGGTATTTTTTGGTCCTGTAATTTGTTCACCCAGAAATTTGTAGATCCAGTAGATCATGATGAACTCATCCCTGCTGTGCAAACGTTTTCAAAAACGAATTAAAAACGAAGAAGATACCATATGGTATGCAGTTGGTACCGAGAGGCCAGAATTTTTTTTCCTAAAAAAAATATTGAAAATTGATCTCATTTTGTAGAGCACGGTGAACTCGTTCCATCTGTGCAAAAAAAATTAAAATCCGAGTTAAAACGAAAAAGATATGAGTCAATTAAGAAAGCTAGTGAAAATAAAAATAGCCTTTAATTCTCCATCCTTAGATCTGAATTTTCTAAATGAAGGGTCCAGATTTGGTTATTGATGGGTGCATAACCCATGGTTATGCACCCTATCTTGAGCCCCCTAACCACCCCAATATTTATGTTTCCTACAATTTTGTTATTACACAGTGTTTAGAATAGAACCACAAAAAAATTTGTAGCCTAATGAAAATTATATTTATTAATAGTAGTAGTGTCCCGGGTTTGAATTACCCAAACTACCACTTATATTTCCATGCGCAAACTACAAACGAGAGTAGTATAATGATTTTTTCAAATTTTAGGGTGCCCCGGACTATTAATTATAATTTTTTTTCTATACGTAAATTATAACCGGAAGTTGGATAATCGTTTTTTCAAAATTTAAGGGTGTCCCGGACACCCCAAACTAAGTCCGCCCCTGCCTGTATGATGAATCCAATGAAATTTTCATATGGAGATAGACAAAAGTTACCATCCTATAATGATTTTTTTTTTTATATAACTTACAGTACCATTTTCTAAAATGTATGGCCACTTTGTTCAAATGTCGAAGCTATTTTTGAATCAATCACCTACACTTACCATATTCATAACTAGCTTTCACAATTTGGGCCGGTCACATGACGACGAACACATGCAACTGGGAAGGTCACCTTTTGTGTTGGCTAGCTACTTCTTTAAGGAAGAAAATAAAACCCTGTCGGGGAATCCAAATTTGTGACATAGTATTTCATTAGTAAATTGGTCTGCCAAAAGCCCAAAACACAGACTCCTCTGTTCTAATTTGGACATAAAACAGACCTGCTCTGCATCTCTCCTATAGCAAAGCTAACAATTACACAGATATGGACAGTGCGGAGACGATGAACAAACTTCCACCACAGGAGGTGTTTTGGAATGCCACCACGATTCACCAGATAGAAGGATTCTGGTTCATGGAGGAGTATCTGGAATCCATGGCAGCATTCAGGTCAGAATTCCAGCCGCGAAACGACGACATTCTCTTGACATCCTTCCCCAAAACAGGAACAACCTGGCTCATGGCTCTCTGCCACAACATCCTCAATCTGGAAGAAGACGAAGAAGACATTCTGACGGAGAAGAACCCGCACGACGTCGTTCCCACGCTGGACGGTGCTTACCTTGCGGATCAAGTCCAAAATATTCTGCTCCATTCGGGCCGCCGAACCACCAGCCGATTGCTCCACACACATTTGCCTTACAGTTGCCTGCCGGAGGCCGTGAGGAACTCCGGTTGCAAGCTCGTGCACTTGGCCCGGAACCCAAAGGACACGCTGGTATCGATGTGGCATTTCTACAACAAGATCTTGAGACGCGAGCCCATGAGCAGCCCGTTCCCCATCGAGAGGGCCGTGGAGAGCTTCTGCAGTGGGGTTATTCCTTGGGGGCCTTTTTACGAGCACGTGGTTGGCTATTGGGAAGAGAGCAGGAAGCGGCCGGACGAGGTGTTGTTTCTCAAGTACGAGGAGCTGTGCAGAGACCCCAAAGACCAGGTGAGGAAGCTTGCTTCTTTTCTGGGGAAGTCGTTTTGCCCGACGAAGAATGGAGATAATGATGATGATGATGATGTGGTGGAGAAGGTGTTGCAGCGTAGCAGCTTGGGTAGGCTCAAAGAGTTGGAGGTTAACAAGAATGGTGTATTGGAGATAGTTCCAATACCAAATGCCCATTTCTTCAGGAAAGGAACTGTGGGGGATTGGAAGAGCTGCTTGACTCCTCAGATGGCTAAACGCATCGACCACCTCACACAGTTCAAGTTGCGGGGAACTGGGCTCTCTCTTGACGATTTCTAATGTATGATATTAGCTACTGGCATACTGCATGTGGCTTTTGTTGGTTACAGTCTTGTGTTAATTCTGTTTTGTATGTGTTTCATTGGATGTGGTGTCCCGTTTGTGTGTTGTGGTTTCTGTTGAATGATTCAGATTTGTCCAAATAAATGTGGTAGAATTCATGCATACAAGTTCGTACTTTGTAGCTAGTACTTCGAAATTCACCTTGACTAGTAAAATTTAATATATAACTTGTAAAATTTGAAATGTTAACATAATATATACTTCCGAAATTTACATTTTATGTGCCCAACACTTATTTAAAGGATGACATTGGTAACTAAAATTGTCTAAAAATTTGATGTCACTTGCATCCACGAATTAAATCCATTAATCCAGTTAATCCATCCCATAATTCCACAATTCCAATCCATGAACAATCTTATTAAAATCTAGATATGTTAAGGCAAAAGAAAGCACAAAGGCTATACTAAATTGAAGCAAAAAACGAAAAAGTAGTAGAAAATCGCATCAACTAATTAGTTTAGCAATTAATCATCAAGAGAAAGCTCAGTCCCCTGCAATTTAGACCGTGTGAGATGGTCAATGCGTTGAGCCATTTGGGAAGTCAAGTGATTCTTCCAATCCCCCACGGTTCCTCTCCTGAAGAAGGTGGCATTGGGCACATGGTTCAGCTCACCGACACCACTCTTGTTAACCTCCAACTCCTTCAACCTATCCAAGCTGCTCCGCCACAGCACCTTCTCCACCTCGCCGTCCCCATCCAGTTGGGAAAATGACTTCCCGAGAAACGAAGCCAGCTTCTTGACCTGCTCCTTAGGCTCTCTCCACAAATCTTCATACTTGAGAAACAACACCTCCTCGGGCCGCCTTCGGCTCTCCTCCCAGTAGCCCACCACGTGTTCGTAAAAAGGCCCGAAAGGCAGGACCCCGTTGCAGAAGCTCTCCACCGCTCCTTCCAACGGGAACGGCTCGGGACCGCGGCGTGTGAGCAGCTTGTTGTAGAAATGCCACATCGACACCACCGTGTCCTTGGGGTTCCGAGCCAGATACACGAACTTGCACCCAGACTCCCTCACCACCTCTGGCAAGCAGCTGTAAGCCAGATGAGTGTGGAGCAACCGGGGAGGAGGGGAATCGAGCAACATATGTTGTACTTGGTCTTTGAGGAAAGTGTTTTCGAGGGTGGGAACCACCTCGTGGGGGTTCTTCTTCGCCAGAAGGTCTTCTCCTGCTTCTTTGTCGAGGATGTTGTAGCAGAGCGCCTTGAGCCAAGTGGTTCCGGTTTTGGTGAAGGACGTCAAGAGAACGTCGTCGTTTCTCGGCTCGAATCCTGACCTGAATGCGGCGGTGCCATCCATTGCCTCCACGAAATACCAGAAGCCATCTATCTTCCCGATCTCGTGTGAGTTCCAAAACAGCTCCTTTGGAATCGGCTGATTGTCCATCGGAAAATGGGATCTAGGGAGGCTGGTATGTTTTGAAGGAAAAAGTACTGTCACCGCACAAGCAAGGAAAAAGTGCAACACAGCAGATAACAATGTCACGCGGGAATATATCAAGAGTTGGCGGATGTCGATTCCTTAATTAATTGTCGAAAAGCACTATGGTCCGCTCATTGTGTTTGTGTCATTGTACTTGGAACTTGGAAGTTGGAACCTCGTGCTTTTCCACCGCCCGTTGTTTCTTGTAATCTTGTTCTTTAGCGGGTCCAAGTTTTTTAAGAGGTGGGTGGCAACTTTTCGAGCTCCTTCTTCTAGTGCTTCATTTAATAATCTATAATCTCTTTGGAAACCATTACTCGTGTAACATTAGTTAGTTTTTTTTTTTAATGTAATCTTCTAGAAACCACAACTCGTGTAACATTAGTTATTATTAGAATATAAATACGAGATCAATTACTTGGTATTTCTTTTGCATATGCGATAGTCCTATACAAAGGTTAAAGGTAGAGAATGTGTTCATGTCTTAGGTGAGTTTAGAGTATCAACTTTTGAATTGAGAAGCGTATTTCTTGTAAAAAAAGGATAAATACTATTTTTGAGTCAAAATTTTCAGTTTTCATGGATTGTAAAATATTAGTCAAATCTTTCAAAATATAAAATATTAGCTATTCTTTCAAATTTTTTGAGTTAAGTGAATTTTTTTATGAGTAATTTCTTTTTTTTTTTTTATGTTTGTGATTGAGATTGATTTTTATCGGTATTTGATATTCGAGATATGCCACTTAAATTGTTTTTAAAATAAGACCTAACATATCCTATGATGAACCCTCCCACACCTCACCAAATCCCTTAAACAAACTTACACTGTTAATATACTATATCTAATAACTAGCTTTTACCCGACCCGTTGGTCGGAGGAATTTTTTATTATTATTATTGTTGTTGTTTGATGTTAATCAATTTGTTAATATTTTCAATTGATTCGAATTTTTGTAAATAATTTATTGACGTTTTGAAAATAATTTTTGTTCTACTTGTTGATTGTGATATTAGTGATGATTAGTTCCTATATATTTTTGATAATTAGGTTATCCTTACGTTAAAAGTGTGTATTTTAATTTTTATATTTCTGAAAATCATTTGCACTTCTTATTGTCGTGCATCCATTTAGTGTCTTCGACTTGAAATAACGTTAAAATCTTAAAAAAGATGCAATTGACTAAAAATGCGGGGAAATAAAATAAATTAAAATGGGAAGAGGATGCGACAGGCTCATATTCATTTTGTTGTAATCTTAGTGAAGAATAATCTTAGTGAAGAACAATGCATTACATTCTTCTTAAGCAGGATCTGGATAACTTCACTCGTAAGTGTAACTTAAACTAACTAACGCTAGCATTAGAGCCAACACCGAATTAGAGAATTAAGTGACGAAGCAAACCAAAAACTAAACTTGAAGAGATATTGTGTTTATTTGGAGCTCCTAATGTAGTTAGTCATGGCTTAACTGAACTAACAAACGCGAAAATTAGAAGGAAAAGTGAATTAGATCTGTAGCCTGTAGGTTCTAGTTGACAGTAATACCCCTCCGAACAATAATGATTGTTCGGATTTCCATCAATCAAACTTTGTTTCTCCATACAATTAATGATAACTTTGCAAAAACAACAATAACAGGCTAGCTAAAGTCAGTATTCAAAGTGGGGCATATTTCCATTTCCGGTTCAAAAGATCAAAGCTACAGGAAGCGGTATATACATGGTGAGTACAAAAGAGAATTTGTCATTGTTGCAAAATGTAGCAGTTCCAATTGATTGCTTTGGACCTGAAATCATTAGAAGGATTAAGTGCTATTAGCAAACCTAGATTATTTAAGGCAATACAGGAAATAACAATGGTTCATGAGTTGCAGCCTTTCAGTTGAATAAAGGTAGCCAAAACCATAAAGATCGAACCTTCTGTCACTACAAGCGTTTTCAAAATCATACAAAGAAGCGGAAGAAACATGAATCCACCCATTTATGCCAACACCACCAGCAAATCTAACTCTTTTCATCTACCAAAGAGTAGCATTATATAAAAAAAATCTACCAAAGAGTAGGGAGAGCAAAGGTTCATGAGTTGCAGCCTTTCAGCTGAACGAAGATAGCCAAAACCACCAATAATAAGAATAGAAAACAATCGAAAGTGTTGTGCTCTTCCATAAATCAAATCTCTTTAAATCATGCAGACATACCCGGTCGAGGAAGAGATTTTTGCCTGCTGGAGATTTCAGTAGTACCAGTTGGAGCTCTTCCTTCAGAATTGTGAGGAAAATAGATAAACAGCCAAAGAGCAATTTTTCTTGTTAGGATTTTACAATGACTACCTTGAAGATCAATATCTCACCTCATAACAATGGGAATTGCAAATCTGGTTCCCCTCCGTCATGAATCTAGTCGTCATCCACTGCGGTCCTCTCCAAAATGGATCTACACCCTAATCCAAAGAAAATAGAAGTAAACACACACACACAAAATTAGTATACAATTTAGAGGTCGGTAATATCACCACCACCAAAATATTTATGTTCCGCCCAACAAACCCCCCAGAACAAACAGGAAAGAGTATGGAATCAACCCACAAAAAGGATCTAATAAAAAAAAAAAGATATCAAGAGTTCAAGACAGATAGAGAATTACAGAGAAAAACCATGACTCCACATCTAACAATCCCTTGATCCTGTCGAGGAGGTAAGAATGGCCACTGACAGTGAAGCCATCAGAAGAAAAAAAAATTAGATCTACCTTGACCGCTAATCGTCCACCGTAGTTATTGATATTCCATAATCTATTCTAGCTTCCTAGATGAGATACATTAGCTACCTGTTCGAGCCTATCCTTCATATAATGCTTGTGAGATCTACACAATTCATGTTCCCAAATCACAATGCATGTGGAGAAAATTGTTCCAAAGATTACAGGCATTATTTGTTCTCCTTTAGGAAGCTACCTTTATTTCTATCTTGATTTGCACAAATGGCCACAACTCCGAATTTTACAGCAAGCCACTTCAATTGAAATTTATGAATGAATCAATAGCCAACAAATAAAAGAATGAGTCCACCAGAGAGAAACATGTGACATTATTCACCTCCTTACAGGCTTACGACATCACCCAACTCATCACCACTACCAAGATTATAAAGAGCATTAAACATGACCATTTAGATAAATTAGAACTTGTAATATTTCCTGTCACCTAAACCGAGCAATTGTGCTAGAGAAATTGGCAATAAAACTGAATGATTTGGACATCAACTCAGAAAATTATGTTCTTTCTTCAAACAATTCTTCATGCGGAACGGGCTACATTATCACATCTATCACAACAAAGCCAGACTATCGCAAAGAAAGAATTGGTAAAGCACATAATCAGAACTTATAGAGAATGCCATCTTTAACGGGTGTTCTAAGAGTTCCTTCGCTGTACATGGAATGCAAGCATGGAAATTGAGAATGCCAACAGTACATGATAATCGATCGTTTTTTATGGTTAGAGAGCAAATATTTCGAAACTCAGCCATGCATGTTATGTTAATCAAATGGTTAAGAACTAAGAATTACAAGTTTGACAGGCAAATATATGAATTCTGAAACCTGCAAAACCACCTGCACAGTAACAAATCCTCAATTTCCACCCAGAAACAACACAACATAAAATAAAACCAAGGAAGAGAAACAAACCGGAGACACCCTGAACCCCCTCAATTGCCATACTCCACATCTTTGTGTGAATCCTGATCCTGGTGTCCATAATCAATATTATGATCGGCTCTCGATCCATTTTCCCTTTCCCTGTTCCACTGTTCAATTCTTGCCCTTCTCTCTTCACTACCTTCCCTAACAGGGCTTCGGTTCTCGCGCCTCCCTCTTCCTGGACTGCTACTTCGTTCCCTCCAGTGATCAGGGCTGGTGGTCTTGTGCCTTCTACTCCGGTTCTCATGATACCGCTCTTTTTCATCATCATATCTCCTACTGCTCCTATGGTAATGATCTTCATGGCTTCTATGCCTGTAGGGGCTCCTACTTCTGCTCCTACTACGACTGTGCCTTGATAGATCGTTAATTACACATATTTTCACCCCTATTCCTCATCTCGTGTTTTAAGCCGATTTTATGCTAGGTTGTGTGTTTGTGTCATATTTCAGGTCCCGGCGTTGGAATCGAGGCGGAGGAATGAGTTCCGGGTCGAAAGGAGCGAAGTTGGGACAAAGGAGGTTGTTGGACCAAAATACCCGGCCAAAGGAAGAAATACCCGACCGGGTATTTTCTGGCCTTGACCGGGTATTTCTCACTTCGGGCGTCCGTGAGAAGCAGAAGGGGGCCCGGGCAAATGCCTAAAATCCCCGGTCGGGGATTATGAGGACAGACCGGGGATTTTCTCCTTAGTTGAAACGGCGAGTTTTGGAAATACCCGGTCGAAACCCGAAATACCCGACCGGGTATTTCGACCGGGTATCGCGATGGCAGCTGATAAAAGAGAAAGAAGGCCAATTTTCAGAGGGTTCCGAGTTTTTAAGAGAGAAAGCGATACCTAGAGAGAGAAAGCGACGAACCAGACTTCCCAAGCACCATAAATCGATCTTCATCACCATTGGAGCCCGGTTTGAGCTTGGAGAAGTGCGATTAAACGTCCAGGAGCAGGAATCCATCTTCACAGTATGATTTCCGCGTCTGAATCTGCTTTTGCTTCTTTCTCTATGGAGTAGTTCCCCCATTCATCTGGGTATGGGGAACCCTAGATTTGTATGCTAGGTCTGATTGTATGAACCCAAGTACAGAGTTTGTGAATTGATTATATTCGATTGAGGTTTGAATGATTGAATGACTTGAATCCTGATCAAATTCCTGTTGTTTCTGCTTTGACCTAGAATGAGAATATCTGCCTAGGTTGATAGAGTACCCTTAATCGAAGGTGGCGAATTGGTGACTTTAGTCGAGGAGCCAATTCGCTATTCTGTACCGAATTCAATTCGGTAGTGGAGGTTTGGTTCGTTAGGGCCTCAATCTGTTTACTCCGGTGGAGGTTAGTCGCCCGCTAGAGACTCAGATTGAGAGGGTCTGGAGACCTTTAGTCAAGACTTCAGGCTAATTGAGAACCTTCCGCAGTATAATTTTCATGAAAACTGAACTTGGTAAATTGCAATCCGACTTAACTGCAGTCAGGGGGATCCATATCCGGGTGACCTCTCTTGACTTGACAACAACCGTTTATTTGCTTTGTGTTTTGTTTGCTTGAGTTGCACTAAAAGTTCACCGCTAAATAACAAGAATTCACCGAGTAGTCATCACATCTAGGACCCGGGTTGACAATAAAACCCAAACCCGCTATACTACGCTTTAGGAAGTGGTTGCACTTGGCCATTTTCTAGAGTGGCAGTAGGAGTGAGTCATGCCTGCTTCTGTAGCTCCCATACAATTGTCGCCTCAATTCCCTACAAAATTGCAGCAGCAACAAAATTGCTTACCTGCCAATCCTTTTAAGATGCATGAAGTTGCAATAACCACCACGGTTGCACGTGTTCTCCTCGTATTGCCTGCAGGTGGCCTCTCGGAAGTCTGTCACTGGAGAGAAGTCCACAATGATGGGGCGCCCTGGGATCAAATTGCACATTAGAAAAAGACAGAATGCTCAGCAAACAAGAATTCAGCAGCTGAACAAAGAGTCAGAAAGGAGAAACTTGATCTATACCCACCGGCATAGAATCGTCCAGTCAGTTTGCGCAAGGCAGTAGCAGCCTGCTCTTCCTCACTAAACTGAACATAAACGTTTCCCACCTTCAACAAACAACAAGAGTCAACTTCTTTAATTGCAAATCAACAAATAACTGAGCAATCCTCATGAAAAATAGATTCCCATCAGTAAATAGAACTTTACCATGTGGTCAGCAAGGTTGTCGCAAACATTCAGGCTCTCAATCTCTCCATACTTGTGCAACTCCTCAAATAGATCTTCATAGAAGTCCTGTAGTGAAAGGAAGAAACACAAGCAATCGTAAATCTCACCGAAACCATGTTGTGAACACCTAAACTTGATGCAGCTTGAAGCAATTCTATGCACACATGAAACTGATTCTACCTAATGATCTACCCCAAATTCAAGCAGGAACCTATCGAATTAAAGAGAAACCCTCTAATCAAATCCAAACGAGAGAAACCCACGATCTTGACAGGAAATGGATAGAGGGAAGCGAGAGGGTGGGAAAATACCTCGAAGTGTTGCTTGATTTTGTGGGGATGGATAGGGTTTCCTTCGGCGTCGACGCCAGGGGTGATCATGTCGGGTCGCTGGTACATGTTGGAGAGGAGAAGGGTGGGGCTGACGCTGGGCTTGGTATGGAGCCCGGAGCAACGGTCGCCATGGCAGCAAGCTCCGATCTTGAAGTAGAAGGGGCAATTCACCCTCTCCTTCTCGGTACCGAAAATCGACGCCAAGTGCTCCGCCATTTTTTCTTTGATCGGACGGGTCGACGAGTTCTCGTTCTCGCCGGAGATTCTCTCACGCTCTGTCTTTGCTCTTCCAGAAAGTTCCCGTCTGATCGGCTGCTGGGAGCAATGGAGAGCAATATGCAGGGTTAAGGAGGACTTTTGATATAGGGGAAGCCTAGAAGAGAGAAGCGATTCGCTGGTGGTAGCTGGAACCTACCCCGTCGGCAGGAATGAAGAATCATCGATTGACTGAAAGTGATTTGAATAGGGAGATGAAGGAAATCCGATTCCCGCAGAGGAAGACACCAATTGGAACCTAGTCCTGACCACAATAGAGGAATCGATTAGAGAGGATTGGGAGAGAAGGTATGTCGTGGACAGTAGAGAGACAGTGCGCCATTCCCCATGGATAAGATAGAAGCAACTTTCCTGCGTGATGGAACCTACCTGACACGCCAAAACACAACACCAAACTGCGACCAAGTGTAATCGCAGTCCAGGAATGCAGTAACAGGCAAGTTCAATTATCAACCCGGGGTCTAGATCTACTGCTTACTCCGCGATTCTCTATTATCTAGCAAACTAGTTCGAGTGATTGTTGTTAAAAGTAAAAGCAACAAGAAAGCAGTAAATTGTTCGGTTTTCAAAGTCAGGAAAGAGTCACTCGGGATTGAGTCCCCCTAGCCCCTTAGTTAGGTTCAATTGTAATTCCCTGGGTTGATTTACTGTTGATTAGACTGCGGAAAATCCGACAGTAGCTTGGAATCTCTTAAGCTGACCAAGCCCTCTCAGTCTAACTACCCGGCAGACGACTAGTCTTCACCGGGATAGAAAGCTGAGGCTATGAACACAGAACTCCACTACTGGAATTGAATTCCAGTACAAAGCAGTAAACTGGCTAACTCTCGTATAGCCAATCTCCTACTATCGAATGAAGAGGCTTTAACAACCTAATCAGATTCTATCTATCTCAGGTTGCAGCAGAAATTGAGAAAAGCTGATCAGACTCCAATCAATTCAATAAACATGCATCATTCGATTAAAATCAAACAGTAATATCATCCCAAGTCATTACAATCAAATCCCTAACACAAGGAACTAGGGTTCTTCATACCCAAGTGAGAGAAGGGTTCTACTCCATAGAGAGAGAAGAGAAGTAATCGGATTAGTCATACTCATAACGATGAGGAAAATCTGCTCCGGGACGATGATTTTCACTCCTATGACGATCTCCAAGCTCGATTCGATGAAACCCAGCTCTAAGATAGCTTCTAGGATGTGTTCTTCGTACTTTCTCTCTCTAGGGCTCTGTTTTTGCTCTGAAAACACGATTCTCCCCCTTTTGGCTCGGAATATGCTCTAAAACCAGGATTTTCCGACTCGCACGGCCAGGGTGCACGGCCGTGCAGATCACCCACTTGGCCGTGCAGCTCAAAACACGGCGCATCAATTAATCTCAGCCATCTCACACGGCCAGGGTTGCACGGCCGTGTGAGGAATCCAGCCTGCCCGTGCTCGGCCTCGCAGAATTCCGCACGGCCAGGGTGCTCAATGGCACGGCCGTGTGAGAATTCTGGCCTGCCCGTGCATGCTCTCGCAGAATTCCGCACGGCCTGGATTGTACTGCGCACGGCCGTGCCATTCCATGGTCTGCCCGTGCAGCTTCCTTGAAATCTCGCCATTCGTCCGATCTTCGTCCAATCGACCCCAGACTCGCTCCCAAGCCTCCATTCACGTACTAGGACCTGAAATATCACAAACAAGCACAACCTAGCGTGAAATCGGCCTAAAACACGAGAATCAACACCTCAAACGGTGTAAGAACGAGGGTAAAAACATGTGTAAATAACGGTCTATCACTACCCATCTGGCAACGGGATTGACGAATCCTCGCTTCCCAGGCTGGAGTAACCAGTCTTCAATGGGAGTGGAGGAGGTTGGTGGTGTACACCGACGTTGGAGGCAGATGCGGCGACAATGGAGGTTAATTCCAGTGAGTATGGTCCTTTCAGATGCGGAAAGGAAACAGAAAGAAGGAAGGAGGAGAGTGACGAATCGTGGATTCCCAGGCCGGAGTACCGGGTGTTTGATGGGAGTGGAGGAGGTTGGTTGTGTACACCTTCCTTGGAGGCAGATGCGGCGAGAATTCCGGCGAGTAGGGTTCTTTCAGATACGGGAAGGAAACATGAAGAGTCGGGAAGGAGAACGGTTGTAGTCGCTGAAAAATGGCAAAAATCCCGCTTAAATGGGCTGCCACGTCAGACTCCTAAAATCACTCTATGCGCAGGAAAATTTGAATGGGGGTTGCAGTTTTACTTTTCAGCTATAAATTATACTGTTGATATATGTTTGAGATAAATTGCTGCTCGATCGTTTCCGTGTTCGATTTTCTTTCCGATACAAATCATTAATTTTGATTTCCTTCATAATACAAAAAATGTTATTAATAGAATATTCGTAATTAAACATGCCCATTCTACCGTTTAGCATGGTTCAAAGTGTGCCTGGGCACTAGGCAAAGCCAAAATGTCTCGCCTAGAATTTCCGTAGCGAATGAGAAATTCGGAATGCGGCTGCACAGTTCGACAACACCTAGGTGTCGCTTAGGTGTAATTTGGCGGAGCTAGAGAGTCAAACTCAAAAGAAAGAAATTAACACCATCTACAATCTCAATCTTTTCAATAATTCAAATATGTGTGAACCATTGACCTACGATTCTATGAACTTTTGAGTTTTTCATATTTCAAAGGGTTAAATAAGTTATTAATCATTTGAAGTGAAGTAGAAGTGTTGTAAAACAATTATTTCATTAATCATCTAGTACAAAAGTCTGTTTTTACTTTCAACGTTAACCTACGATTTTATTATTTACTTTTATTAAGAGATTTTAAACGAAAACAGAAAACACAAACGTAGCACCAAATTGAAGCAGAAGAAAAAAGAAGCTGGTGGTACAAAATAGCATCAATTAATCATTAAGAGAAAGTTCGGATCCTTGCAACTTGAACTGCGTTAGATGTTCAATGCTCTCAGCCATCTGGGAAGTCAAGTAGTTCTTTCAATCACCAACGGTTCCTTTCCTAACGAAGTGGCCATTTATAACTGAGTCCAACTCTAGTACACCATTCTTGTTAACCTCCAACTCCTTGAGCCTACCCAAATTGCTACCCCACAACACTTTCTCCACCACCTAATCACCACCACCCGCCGCGGCCGACGTCGAGGAAAACGATTTCCCCATAAACGAAGCCAGCTTCCTGACCAGCTCTTTGGGCTCCCTGCACAGCTCCTCGTACTTGAGAAACAACACCTCCTCGGGTCGCCTCCGACTCTCTTGCCACACTACAAAAAAGAATAGATTTAGGGACCAACATAAGGAACGGTTTTTTATATCGTCTCCGGAAATAGGTTTATAAGTGTTATTAGGGACAAGTGAACTAAATTGTCTCCATAGGATAAGTAATGCAGTTTTATTAATTTTTTATTTAGTTTAGCTGTCCACTAAAAGAATAAGTCTGACTGAATATTAAATCGAATTGAATTTTCTTAAGCCGACGGATTAGCAGGGATGTTTTTGGTCCCCAAAATATAATGCTTTAAAGGGTAGGGTTGATATTAGTAGATTTTATGTCTCTTAAACTTTGCTTTGATTATTAGGGGAGTTTTAAGCTTTTAATTGATTCATTTTCCTTGCCTGGTGGTTACGCGTTAGGATTAGCATGGATTTTTTTCTTTTCCTTTCCAATCTTGAACTAATCCTTTTTTCCTTTTCCTATTTTTTTCTTTTTTTTTATATTGGAACTTGCAAATGATCAATTTCTTCCTTCCAATTTTGAAAAATAGTAGTTTCGTTACCATGTTTATTAGTTTCCTTGTCACATTTGGATTGTTATGAGCATTTCTATAATGCTTTACAGTAGTGGCTATTTGTGATGGCAATGGGATGGGGGCGGTGCGAGTACCTCAATATCCCTGCCCCGGCCCAACTCTAATACAGGTCGGGCGGGTAAAACTCGCGCGGGTATGGGATGTGGCGGGTTGATCCACTCTCACATGTTATTTCAAAAATACACACGCAAATTTTACTTTTACGATAAAACGAAGGGGAAAACACTTTATGAATGAAAAATGGTGATAAAAGAATGAGTAATTGAGTCTAACCAGTTGAAAGGATCGACTCTAATTAGTTGAAGAGAAGTCAAAATAGGAGAAATATGTATAGATATTGTAAGAAATCAAGGTAGAATGAGCCGGGACGAGGCAGGGCTGGTCGGAAGTAGACACCCATGCCCCGCCCCATGCTAGTGCGGGTCGGGTAATACCCTCCCCGTCGCGGGTCAGGTCGGATAATACCCGTGGGGTGGGTTCAAATTGCCATCACTACTGGTGATTCGAGATACAAATTAAAGTTGAATAATAACCTTAAATGTACAAGTTTAGGTTGCACTTTAAGAAAATTTGTACTTTTATATTATGTTACAACTTCAATTTGTGGCCTAACATAAAGGTACTAATTCAGTTTGTACCATAAAAGAATTTATACAAAATAGTATAAGTACAACCTGAAGCTGTACCACAACATTAAATGTACAACTTCAATTTGTATCGTAAAGGCAAAAAACTAAAGCACCAATATTTAAAGATATTTTAAAATTCCTCATTTATAAATATGTTAGTTTGATTTTGCTAAACATCATATTCAACTACACAAAACAATTTTGATACTAGGAAGGAGATGCTCAACAAAAAAGAAGAGCTACCGTAAGACAATCAAGATTCAATGTGCACTTCCAAATGACATTCGTTATGATATATTTAAAAAAATTAGACTTTCATTACTAGTTCATATCATGTGGTACTTCTTGGTATGTAAATACGATTGTACTATAATGTATAAAAGTTTACCATGGATTATGAATAATGTCATATAGTAGAATGGTTGCGTACATGATAGTAGAAAAAACATCTCAAAAAACAAAACCATTGTTTCAAATTCATAAAGCATCAAATCCTCAATAAATCATGAAATCTTAAAATAAAATAAAATCCTCAGTTTTAAATCCACATATCAAACGAGCCCTGTTGCTTAAATGCCAACAAGAATGGACTAGGAGATAACTAACTTTAACATACACTGAACCATATCAATTGAGAGGAATTTTACAATGCTTTAAAGTATTGATGCTTTGATTTTTGTTTTTATAATACAACTTGAGGTTGTAGTTATGGTACAGCCACAGGTTTTACCTATACTTTTTGCATAAATCCATTTATGGTACAAATTAAAGGTGTACTTTTATATTATAATACAACTTCAATTTGTACATTTAGCGTTATGTTACAATTTCAAGTTATACTTTAAAGTTTCAATGCTTCAAAACATAATAGAATAGAAGTGCACATCAACTGATTTATGAATGCACATGCAGTACAGTAGATGTTTACATTGACACCTGTACAATATTACAATAATTGTTCTTTATACTAATTATTTTTGAATCACACCCCAACTCCATTGAATGAATCGAATGATCGAAAGCAACAGATGGAGCTTGACCACATTAGGATCTAAATCTCCAAAACTTATAATTAGCCCTTCAATTAGCTACTTCCCTGAAACGGGTCACGGCAAAATCTATCTACAATACAATTTATGGCTAATATGGCTTTTGGTGTGCTGGGCCTTTTAGCCAAAATTTTGGCGGACTTTCTTGCTAAAATTTCAAACCTCGGCCAGACAAATAAATCATATTCCATTTTCACCGTAATTCTGCTTCCATCTATTTGGCTTTGGCTGCGATATTCAATTTCCCCGTTGATTTTCTTTCCTTAAGATAGCACAAACCAATCCTTTCCCTCCTTGCATCTTTGTTTCCCTCCTATTCCAACTTTTTAGCCCTATATTTGGCTTTGGCGGCGAAAATCTTGCTTCACAAAATCGATATAGTCAAGAACTTTGTTCCTTCAATCTGTTGAGTTTTGTGATTGTTCTCTGCCTCCGTCCGGTAGGTTTCAGTTCACGTTCTGATTCGACGATTCAACTCCCTTCTCGATCTTGATACTTGCATATTTATTGATTCTTCTTGTTTTGTTATCGTTCATGATCATTGGGACTTTTAGGGTTTATCATTCTTAGATGTTTATATGTTAACTGTTTGGATTGAGAAAAAAATATTATTCAAGCTGCATCTGTGTTTCTCTTTTCCGACTTGATGTCCCCTGTTTGAGTTCTTAGAGTAGACGAAGACGACGTTGCAACATATATATGTATTTAGTCCTCTCTTTTCTTTCTCATTATAACAGTGATTATGAAATTACTTTGCAGCAATGGTTCGTGCAACGAACAAAAAAGCGGAATTTAGATCACATCGTCCGCTCATATGTAGACACAGGAACCCAAAACATGTCACGTGTACCAGAAACTGAATTGCCTTCCATAATTCTTCAATCCAATTTGCGTGCATCTGGTAGTGGAGAACCGAAATCATTGAATGTGGAAGGTTTTATTTCTATTTGTATGATTGTCTTCTTTGAGCTGCGGCTTGTATTGTTTCTAGTTATGGATTTTAGCTGCAAGATTAATCATGCACATCAGATGGAAATCAAGATTTGGCTGATTCTTTTAGTTTGCATTAGCTAATTACGTTGAAAAGTCACTGCCCTAAAAGCCTGTGCTGCTTCTTGATTTTTCAGTTTGAGTTTAGGAACTAATAGAAGCCAACCAAAGTTCATTGCTCTAGGACTTCTCTATGTCCATTTGTTTTGGTACTTGTTGTTTCATATATGACATCAGTGTAGTGTGAATTTGTTGATTCATACATTGGCAGAGTCATGCTTTGCTTCAGTTTGGTACTAATTCACTTGTGTCTTCATTATTTGTACTCCATGCATTTTTCCCCCCAATTGAGTTCCTACTTCCATTTGATTCAATTAATGTCCTTGCCATATATTTAACTTTTAAATTTTTCCTGATTACACTTTCAGGAGCCGAGAAGAAAGAATATTTGTTGGCCAGGACATACTGTGGTATGCAGAGATAGGATTTTAGTATATTTTTTGTTAGAGAGATACTAGAACAAATTATGAATCTGAAACTTGTTATCTATTTCTTTTTTAGCTTTTCTTTCTCTAGTTTTACGAGAGAATGTTTATCCTTTCAAAAGATGAATGTTAGTTTATGGTGTTGGATTGGATTGCATTGTAGTAATTTTGTTTTAATTTTTATGAAGATACTTTTATGACATTTTTCTATATTGAGTTAAAATGTGTTATGTCATTCCTAAAAGTTTCACTATATTAGTCACGATTCACGAGGTAACATGTGCCATCAAACTCACATAGGCGACAATCTTTCGTCCCCAAAGACATTGTTTAAGCAAATTGATGCCCCCTGAAGACACTGCTTAAAGGACAATTGGTCATCCATAACAGTTAAATAGGTGACAATTAGGCGTCCCCAAAATACAAGGTAAGGGACAATTAATCGTCCTTATAAGTGATACATGTGACAATTAGGCATCCCCAAAGACACATGCTAAGGGACAACAAGTTGTCATACGACTTTCATAAATGACAATTTGTTGTTCCTAAAAGGTGTATAAGTGACAATTAGGCATCCCCAAAGACACATGCTAAGGGACAACAAGTTGTCATACGACTTTCATAAAGGACAATTTGTTGTTCCTAAAAGGTGTATAAGTGACAATTCCTCGTCCCCGATACACAACTAAAGAGACAATTGGTCGTCCTTAAAAGTCATAGGTGACAACTTGTCGTCCCTAAAGATATGGTATAAGAGATCACTCGTAGTCATTGAATAAAGCTTTTGGGGACGACTTTTAAACTTCAATTTAATACCTATAGGAACGACATGTCGAGCTTGTAAAAAAAAAGGGGACAATTTATTATACCAAGATAGGCCCAACACAATCATGAAATTGTTTATGTGGGACAACACTTTGTCCCTGCAAATGAAGTTTAGTGGACGATTAATTGTCGCTACAGTTATAGCTATGGGGACGACGGGTTGTCTTTCACATAAAAGAAACGAAACGACGACTTGCGAGTATCGGGGACGACTGTCGTCCCTAGTAATGGGGACGACCTAGAATTTTGTCGTCTCCAAAAGAATAGAGGACAAGAGTATAGGGAACCATAGTCGTCCCCAAAAACTATAGGGACGATTTTTCCTATTTCCGGGGACGACTTTCGTCGTCCCCAAACCTCCTCTTTTTTGTAGTGCCAGTAGCCCGCCACATGTTCGTAAAAAGGTCCGTAGGGTAGAACCCCGTTGCAGAAGCTCTCTACGGCTCCCTCCAGGGGGAACTGCTCATCATAACCGCCGCCGCGCCTAAACAACTTGTTGTAGAAATGGCACATCGACACCAGCGTGTCCTTTTGTGTTACGAGCCACGTACACGAACTTGCACCAGGACGCCCTCACCGTCTCTGGCAAGTAACTGTAAGGCAAGTGAGTGTGGAGCAATCAAGGAGACGAACAACCGAGCAACATGCGTTGGAATTGGTCTTTGAGGAAAGTGTTTTCGAGGGTGGGAACAACTTCGTGTGGGTTCTTCTCATGTGGTTATTTATTTTGTTAGCCGGAGAAAAACCATTGGAGAAGTTCGATCGTCAAGTTGAACAATTTAAGAAGATGGTCGTTGATAGAAATATTTCTTGTGATAACTGGGTGGACCAAAATCAACTTCGTTGGAACTTAGCATATGATAACCATAATGGTGGGCATCGATGGTCTATCATGACATCCAACATGGCAGAGAGCATCAATGGTGTTTTCAAAGATATTCGTTCACTTTCTATAGCTTCCCGTGTGGTTATTTATTTTGTTAGCCGGGGAAAAACGATTGGAGGAGTTCGATCGTCAAGTTGAGCAATTTAAGAAGATGGTCGTTGATAGAAATATTTCTTGTGATAACTGGGTGGACCAAAATCAACTTCGTTGGAGCTTAGCATATGATAACCATAATGGTGGGCATCGATGGTCTATCATGGCAGAGAGCATCAATGGTGTTTTCAAAGATATTCGTTCACTTTCTATAGCTTCTCTTGTGCAACATACTTATTGGCGATTATTGGAGAAATTTGATGGATGTGGTTGGAGAAAGAAACCCAAATCATAAATGGTCATTCACAATACACCAAGTCTATCGAAGATCTTACGAAGCCGTGGGCACTGTCGAAGATCTTATGAAGCCGTGGGCACAAAAGGCAGTTGGACATTCTATGACAGAAATTGATCGACGTCAGGGCATCTATGTAGTTCAGACTCTTCCCAACAATTTCAGCATGACGGGTTCGAAACACTCATAGTGCACTTCGACAGCAACAATCAGGCGGGATTTGCACTTGTGGGAAATTCTAAGGAAATAAAATTTCTTGCTCTTAGCGTGTTGGGTCTGATCTCCCTCCACTATATCATCATCATCCTGTGCAGTGTTCAAGAAGATGCGCCTAGGTGCGATTAGTTGTTGGGCATGGAGGAAACATGGAGAAGAGAGTTGGGCGTACAAAACATGGAATCGAGTGGGAAAACGCCTAGGTGGTGATTAGGCGCTCGGAAGCCCGATTCCAATCAATTGGGCGAGCCCAGAACACGTAAATAGGGGGAAGTTCTACCTTTTTTATTACCCGTAACCCTAATCTGCCCTTTTATTTCATTCGACATATCCAACAAAAAAAAAAAGAGATCACCAGCCACGCGAGAGATGAGCGAACACCGCCGTCCTCCACGCGAGCGACCAGCGCCGCCGTCCTCGCCGTCGGACTCACCTTCGATCAGCGTCGTCAGACTAGCCATCGACCAGCGTCTTTCTCGCCTTAGTCCTCACCGGTCGTCCTCGCCATCTCTAGCCGGTCATCATCACAAAGCACAGCGGGTCGGCGGCCAGGTGAGAATGGTTTGGGATGAATTGATTCAATTGATTTTGTAGGCTGAATCTGGACAAATTGATGTGGGTTGACATTGTTTGTTTTGTGATGGGTAGTCGATTGATGGTAGGGATGAGATTTAGGGAATATATTGGAATTTAGTGTTGTTGGATGGTGGTAGTATAGATGCTGAGGGTGACTTGGGAAGAAGCAGGGGAAGGTTATGAGAGAAAGAAGAATAATGATGTCAAGGGAAAGGGAAGAGTTTTCGGGTGAATATTAGGCAATTTTTTATTGAGTTTAACTCAGTTTGCACGAATGAATGATGCACTAAGCTTAAATATCAATCATATTTTTTTCGACGTTTAATCTCGATAGGCGACGATTAATCGGTCTGGGCGTTGGGCGGTGCCTCCTCGCCTAGATGACGCCTGGCGTCTTCTTGAACATTGATCCTGTGTACCAAAGAAGTCATACATCTGAGACTACTGATGCTCATCTGGTGCACTAGTGAACAACCCCTGTCCCTAGCTACCCCTAAAGCTGCTGATCAGGACACCATATTGACGCCATAAAAGTAGGATCCCCTTCTAGCGAGTCCCGCGTATCGTGCGGTGAGGCTGCTCTAGTATCACTACCGCATGCTATGTATCCGCCTCCCATCGTAGCATGCTGAGGTGTATGGAGGCCAGTGGCGGATCCATGGGGCTCTAGGGGTGTCCCGGGACACCCCTAAAATCTGGTAACACGATTATTCAACCTCCGATAGAAGTTTGCATATAGGTAAAAGAAAAATATTAAAGTGGTGGCGGGACACTTCTAAAATTGGGAAAAACAATTATAATCTCCCAATAGTAGTTTGTGTATGGGTAAATATAAAGATTTAAGTGGTTGCCTATGTGATTTGAACTTGGGTCGATGGTACTATTAATAAACATATTTTTCATTAGACTATAACTCATTTGTTTTTGTATTTCAAATCCAAATATAATAGTAAAAACCTATTTTTTATCCCAATTATTTTCAAAAGCTAACGATTAAACCCAATTACGGGCTCCCCTGGTCTAGTAGGATATATCGAGAGAGATTTATAGAGCATTGTTGGACACCGATTGTATTTTACAATTTTTCCAAAGTACGACTCACGTCGGGGTCGTTTGGTTTTGGTGATAGTTTGGTTGGGATAGTTACAATGCATGCAATGTCCACAATGCATCATTTTTTTTAAATTTTCTGCGCAAACAATACATGCATTGTTTGCTTGATTTGACACAAATTAAACTATCACTCAAAATGAGTGATAGTTAAATCTCAAGTTTTCGTTGAGATTGTTTGATGGAGATTGTTGTGTTTTCTTCTTCTTCCAAAGATGTCCCTACCTTTTTATGTGTATTGCTTTTTTATATTAAAGACAAAGGATAAAAGTGACATTTCACCCAAAGAATGATACAATTTATTTAAATACTACAATAACTATCACAGAAACCAAACGATGTAAACTATAATACACCAATTTTCTTATATACATGTATATTATTATGCATGCATTGATGACAATACAACGATATATTTAACTATCACCAAAATCAAACGACCCCGACGTCATGTGCTTTGTTTTCCTTTGGACAAGTCAGATATTTTTTTTATTTAATAATTATTTTAACTTAATTTTTAGAAGAGGACACCCCTAGATAAAATTTCTGGATCCGCCACTGATGGAGGCTATCGTCTGGCTGAAACGCTAAAGAAGCTCTGTACCGCTCCCTCCAACGAGAACAACTCAGGACCGCCATGTTTGAGCAGCTTGTTGTAGAAATGTCACATCGACACTACCGTGTCCTTGATGGTCTTTCATAAAAAACCTTATTCTGGAACTTAAGAGTTCATGCATGCACAATTACGTACACATCAACACATCGTCATCTACCTTCTTCCTTCCGAATAATAAAAAGAAGACAATTTTTTATTATTTCTTAGTAAGAAATTTGAAATCGTCGAAACCAGAACATACAAAGGCAACACCAAATTGAAGCGAAAAAAGAAAGTAGTAGAAAATCACATCAACTAATTAATTAGTCCAGCAATTAATCATCAAGAGAAAGTCCCGTCCCCTGCAATTTAGACTGCGTAAGCTGGTCAATGCACTGAG